CCAGAGCATCTACTGGAAACAACTCCTGAGAACTCCTCATTCAGGAACAGCTGCTGGAGATGGATAATGGAGTGCACCAAAGGGAACACTAGCTTACAAACACTTACAAGCAGCAACCCACTTTACTGGGATGTTTAAAAAAGGGCCCACAGCACTCATGCACACCCAGAGTCAGAGTCTCCTCCCTGCAGAAGCTGGGTTTGAGGAGCAGGCCATGGGACACACAGGGAGAGAAAAAGCCAGCCTGGAGCTCCTCACCACTGAGTGCAGAGCTGTGCCCACAGCTCTGAAGATTCACCCCCTCCTCCCCTCAGCGTGGCTCACCACTGCGAGGGACACGAGGACCCTTCGAAACATGGAAGATGTGTCAGATACGATGTCATCCTCAAGGGAGCAGCCAGATTCTAGCAAGAACACACACACAGCACCCATTAGGAGCAGGGCCACCACCTGGGTGCTGCCCACAACATTTACCAGCCATAACCTGCTAAGTACAGAACTGGGCACAGGGCTCTCAGCATCACTGCAGCACTCCAGCCATCATCATTAGTGCTACGGCCTCCAATTAAGAAGCACAGACAGTAAGAAACGGGCAAGAGAGCCACACGTCCCGCTGACAGACAGAATGCTCCTCCCCATTTTATTTATACCAGTTCAGTTGCTGGTGAAATTCTAGTCTAGCTTCTCTCTGGACAAACAGCAACACCCAGGTCGGCCAGTGTGTCACACCTAAAAGCTCCCCAGATTCCTTCCTCTTCACGTCTGCCTGCACACACACAAACTGACTGTCAGACAGCAGGACAAGGCCTGGCCTTTTGCTCTACTTACAAAGCTTGTGGTTCTCATCCATGTGACGAATCTCTTCATCGGTGTGAGAAGCCACAATTTCAATCAGGCAACTTTCATCTGTTCCTGCTCCCTAGGGAATCACCAAGGCGAGATTTAAGATACCAGCAACTGCTCGTGACGTGCAACCAGGTTTCTTTAATAATAATTTAGGTTAACGATAAATAAGAAGACATACATAACAAAGCAGTAAGTCCTTGGCCAGAACTTAAGCAATACGAAAGGAAGACTTCCAAACCTTCACAGCCCTCCTTAGTGTGTGCACGTCATACATGGTGGTGGCAGTCATCATCCCAGTGATCACTGTCTCAAAACTCCCACTCAGCTTCAAGTCACTTCAAGTCATCAATCAAAAAATCAAAGGCCAAGAGAGGAGAAAGGAGTTGGCAGAAGGTAC